TAACCTGTTACTGAGCTGCTGCCAAGGCTCCCAGTGTATGTCTTCATCAGCCAGGCATCAAGGGATAGTCATGGTCTCCCAGGATCACAATGGGCATTTTGCCTTCCCCCACGGTGACCTTCTGGTCCAAGAAGAAACTCCCTACTTGCACCTTCCTGAACAGGTCAGTGTTCCAAAAGACGTGAGCGTCTTGCACCTTTCCACCTGTTACTGAGCTGCTGCCAAGGCTCCCAGTGTATGTCTTCATCAGCCAGGCATCAAGGGATAGTCATGGTCTCCCAGGATCACAATGGGCATTTTGCCTTCCCCCACGGTGACCTTCTGGTCCAAGAAGAAACTCCCTACTTGCACCTTCCTGAACAGGTCAGTGTTCCAAAAGACGTGAGCGTCTTGCACCTTTCCAAACCAGCCTGCATTAATGTCTGTGAAATGCCCCTGGTGATCCACAAACGCCTGCAGAACCATGGAGAAATACCCCTTGCAGTTAATGTACTCGGCAGCTAGGCGGTCTGGTGCCAGGATTGGAATATGCATGCCATCTATGGCCCCACCACAGTTAGAGAAGCTCATCTGTGCAAAGCCATCCAGAATTTCATGGATGTTGCCCAGAGTCACAGTTTTTTGGAGCATGATGCGATTGATGGCCCTGCACGCTTTATCAGCACAGGTCTGAGGGTCAATTTTCCCACTCCAAACTGATTGGTGACCAATTGGTAGCCAGCTTCCACAGTGCGATCACCACACACTCCTCCACCATTAGGGCAGTTCCCATTTGTGTGTCCTAGTGCAAACTCAGCACATAGTCGCATGGAAGTGGCCTTCCTCATCCGACAGTTCTGCTGCCACTGCTCATCACCCCTGACTCTCACGATGATGTAATTCCACCACTCAGTGCTTGTTTCCTGAACCCAAAAGTCGTGTTCCACTGTGGTCGTCACTCCATGAATGCCACAAGAAATCTTGTGTCATAGGCACGATGCATGGCAAGCTCAGTTTCCAGCTCATCATTGCTTTGTAGCTTAAGGAATAACTACTGCCATTTGTGACATGTAAGTGAAATCCACCAGCATTTTCTTCAACAGTTCAGGAGCTATTCCCGCAGACAGCGGAGGCAGAGCATGCAGCACAAAAGCCATTGAAAGATGGTGCCAAATGCAGACGGAAGCACAGAGATTGCTTCCACTAACAAGCACCACTAAGCACTGGGACAGGACCCAGGATGCCCTGTGACAGCCACACTCCCCATCCATCTTCCCACAAGCCTCAGCAGCAGAAAGGGAAGTGATGCCCTTTGGGATATCTGTCCAGAGTGCACCACTCTGAATGCCGCTGCTACTGCTCTGGCAGTTGACAGTTTGGATACACAACAGCAGTTCCACTGTTAACACTCTGTGAGCGGCACTTGAACTGACAGCTCTTTACCTCTGCTAGTGTAGACAAAGCCTGAAACCCACTTTTAAATGAAGCCTTCCTATGTTATGCCCATGGCTGATGTTCCTGGTTGTCATGCATCTGAACAGTGTATTTCTGAGTTAGACTTTTAGCCTCTTCAGTGCAAGCAGATGGTTTTGTACTTACTTTTGAAAACAGCTGTGGTAGACACACTTATCTAATAATAATTGCAATGAGTAAAATGTAAATTTCTTCTGTGTGTCAGTTATAAAATAAATGCTAAAGGAAATGTGTACTTTTAGTAGACTGATTATGTAAGGACCCAGGAAATGCTGCATTTTGATGGATTAATTATGTAAGCTAGGAAAAGCTCCGTGAGAAGCTGTTGAGTTCGGCAAAGTCACTGAAGGCAAAAGAATAATATAATACTAAAGATTAATTAAAAATATTTAATGATTTTTTAAATATAGATTTTAACTAGTACTATACAAATTAATATTGTAAAAATCTGTTGGATTATATAGGACTGTCCCAAAAGCAGGAGATAGGAGAATGGTAATAAGGGAAGGAAGAATTATCTTTGTGGGACTTTCAAATGCCAGTCTGAGGACAGCCCTTAAAATGCTGGCGGGAGATGGAATGTGTGACAGTTTTGAATCTAGTGTAGGACACTGTTTTGATCTGTACTTCGCTTCTTTCAGGCAGCACTAGAAGAAAAAATAGCATTTCCCCTACATATATGAAGAGGGAAAATGGTCCTCTCTCTGTCCTGTCTGTTTCTGGGGTGGGGGAAATAAGGACAGAGGGCTCTGGGATGGGACATGAGAATGCACATTTAGAATCTCTTAGGATGGGAACAGTCTGTTCTGTGCAGAGGCAAATGGAGTGAGGTGGTGAAGGACAGGCTCTTAGACCTCCCAGCTGCCAATTATGGATTAGAGTCCAGCTGCTGTAGACAATGCCTATATGGTACAGAAGAGCTTTGCAAGTACAAAAAGCAAGATAAAATGGTCAGTTCTGCTGTTTCGAGACATCCCATTAGTATCAGTGCAATAGCTGTTCCCAGCGGAGGCTCCTGGCAATCAGCTGGAATCATGTTCTATATTTTTGTTACATAGTTTTCATTATATACAAAAAAACCCTGTTGTGAAAGCTTAAGAAGAAACTGGACATCTTCTAAACTAGCCTGCTGCTCATGATCAAATTAAAGTTAAAATGATCCAATACTGGGTAATAATGCCACTGTGCTTGTGCCTAGCAGGCTAATACAGTGCATGGTATTGGCTGAAGCCTGGGACATGTACTAAAAGTATCCAAGTTAGCCAGTCTGCCCTTTCCAAGTGGCTCCCAATTAATCTGAAATCTTTCGTGGATCTAATGGCCCCGACTAATTTGCATTGAGGGATTTACTCCTTGTTCTCCAAATAAGCCTGACATCTCCTCCTCTGTGGAAAGGGGGTTACAGTGGATGAAGCAGAGGTTCTAGTGCTGGGAAACAAACTTTGTTTCTGCATTTGGGTCTTTATTTATGGTGGTACCTATTGTGCATTAGGCATGTGCCAGAAGGATTAAAAGAAATGGATCCCAGTCCCTAGAAGCTTGCAGTCTAGACCACAGCTGAGATCAGATCAGTCTGGAGTAAACCGTACTACTTAACTCAGTCCCCTCTTGCTTGCTGTTTCTACTATGGCAGCAGTGACTATGCCTCAGCATATGAACTTTCTCTCTCTAGTTTGGGGTGTGGCATTTCTGCCTTCCAGTCTTCCTCCTCTTTCTCAAACTCTTCTTCATCTGGTCCCCGAATCTTGACGGGCTCCTTCTCTCCTTGCTCACTAGACCGGTATCCGGGGAGAGAAAGAGAGATTACCTAGTATTCACTAACTCTCATTTGGAATATTTTTCACTGCTGTCACAGAGGTGGCTCCACAGGCCACTGGGAAGTGTTCTCTGGACTTCAGTTTAAGAACCACTGGCCCACACAGCTTCTTGCTGGGGCTGGAGTAGCTGTGAACGGCCTTGTGCCATTTCCTGCAGCACTTGCAGGGAGAGGCAATGACTGGAGTATCTGTGAACTCTCAAAAGGGGCAGGGACCCTATCCTCATTGCAGAGTGAAGAGAAACCCACCCAGTATGAGCAATGAGGGTGACTCAGACCCACAAGAACAGAAATTGTAGAGACTGGGGAGAAATAAGGGAACTGATCTGGACTTCAGATACCCACAAGTGGTTCCTGATGGGTTCCTTGGGCTTGTTAGCTCCATCTAACCCCCTATATGGTGCTTATGGGTCGCCATACACCAGTGATCACAAAGAGGCCCATAAGAGCAGAACCAGTATGGTAAATGAGAACAGAGAGGCAAACTACAGTGGCAAAGATGGGATTGCATAGTGCCTTCTTCTCTCCTGGATTAAATCTTTCACCTTTGCCATAGATAAAACCTGTGCCCCATCAGCCAGTTTTCCACATCATTATCCCTCTCTACACACCCTCCATACATCCATGCTGCAGAGAGGAGATGAAAGCATATTTTGCCTCTCACCAAGCCTCTCTCTCACATGTCCCACCTACTCTTCCGGGAAAAGGCACTCACGTCATCTCATACTCCTTGTCGTCGCTGCCCCGGCAGCAGCAACAATAGCCCAAAATCCCGATGACGATTATTGCAGCAACTGCACCACCAATGACACCAGCATAGAGGGCAATGTTCATAGATGCTGTGGAAGGAAAGAGCAACACAGTCACAACCTGCGTGCACTAAGAATGACTTCAAATCGGATCAGAATCACACCCATTAGAGACCAAGCCCCCATCTCCCTTCTTAGGGTCCCAGCCACATAATGATAGATCTGGACATCGTTTTAGTTGCAGCAACTGTTCTTGACTCTGCACTGATCCAGTGGATAGCAAGGGCAGGTCTGATCAATTCAACAGATGGAGCCAGACCTGTGGGATCTGAACACTCCCATACTCCTGATCAAGTTCAGATCTTAATCTTGTGGCTCATGCCCATATATAATTAGATACAGATTTAATATTATTCACTATTACAGACAGGTCTAAATGTGAGCACCTCAAGCAGGGCAATGGAGTTTGTTTTAAAGAGATGAAAGAGGCCAGTTCTTAGAAGAGTGGGGCTGTGGATACACTTAGCAGCACTCCAGTGGCTCTCCCATTAAGCCCCTCAACTACATTTAGGGTACATCTAGACTACAGAGCTTTTCTGGGATACCAGCGGTATCCCAGAAAAGCTCTGACACTTCCAAGGAACGCATCTGCTTTTCCGAAACAAATGTCAGAAAAGTGGACGCGTTTTGTTGGCATCCCTGTAAACCTCGTTTTATGAGGAAGAAGGGATGTTCCAAAAGAGGTTTTTTTCCCCAACATTTGGCCCCGTGTAGACTGGCCAAATGTCGGAAAACCCTCTTTTGGAAAAAAAGCTGAAAAAGATATGCAAATTGTGGTTTGGAATTTGCGTATCTTTTTCCGACTTTTCTTTGTAGTGTAGACATAGCCTTAGTCTCTGAATACATTCCCCCACCCTTCGCAAGCAGTCAGTAGCATCTTACGAGGTATAATGGAAACTGTCATGTTGCAGAACTCTTGTCCAACAGTGTTGGTGGCAGTGCAAATGTAAAAGCCGGAGGTGTCTGCAGAGACGTTCTTCAGAGTTATCTGTTGTCCTGGTGCAAAATACAAATCCCCAAAATAAAATAATTTTAGAAGATTAGATCAAGGAAGGGACTAGGGCAAGGAGCCCTTCACATCTAAATTACCCCTTCAAGTTCAGCCCCCATTGGTAATGACCAAAAGTTGTTGCAGTTTTTGGCTGGTTTTGTGACTTGTGTGAGATTAGACTAGCCTCCATGTGGTTCTCAGTGAGAGATAAGGAAGGCCAAATAGAAATATGCTCTTTGGTACTAGCTATATATTTAATTTTCAGCTGTTTAGCTGCAATTGTGGGTGTGGTTATAGGCAAGTAAATGTTCAGCAAAAGTTTGACTTGCTCTTTCATATGTGGCCAGCAACCTAGTATGCTGTGTCACAAAAGATGTCACTGTCAGGAGGAATATGACAGCTGAGAGCAGCTGGCTCAGAGAAACGGTCATTTGAAGAGCTAACACCCCGCCTGGTAGCAAGTCTTTCAACCCACTAGCTTTCAGGACGTCATAATTATCTGCCAGTAGAGGAAACTAGTGGGAAGTTATAGTCAGGTAGAGTTAGGCAAAGGCAGTTCATGCTGTATAATCAATCCATGGGGAGCAATCATATATTTGTCAGGACTGCTACGAGGCTGCACATTCCCTACCCTGAGCTAGTGGAGCTCAGAACTATAGAGTTTATCATTTCATCTGTATACATTTAGTTTTATTCAAGTTGCTTTCCTTTTTATCTGTAACTGGCACATCAAGTTTTTTACCAGTGACCCCTGTCAGCCATCTGTTGGAAAAGGTGGGCTTGATCAATATTTTTAAGCATATCATCTGGCACCACACTTTCCCATGCGTGTTTTTTTCACAGAATCATAGATTCTAGGCCAAATGGGACATTTATTCTGATTTCCTGTGTAGCATAAGCCATAGAATATTCCCAACATAATTCCTAGAGCAGATCTTATCAAAAACATCCTGTCTTAATTTAAAAATTGTCAGTGATGGAGACTTCACTATGACCATTGGTAATTTGTTCCCACGATTACATTATTCTAAACATTAAATTCAGACTGGAAATAAGGTAAATTTTTGCCTAGCTTCCAATCCAGGCATTGGATTGTGTTATAACTTTCTCTGCTAGACTGAAGAGCCCACAAATAAATATTTTGTTCTCCATGTAGGTACTTGTAGACTGTTATCGAGTCACCCTTTTACCTTCTCTTTGTTAAGCTAAATAAACAGACTCAAAGATCTCAGTCACTATTTGTTTTCTATCTCATGTCTTGTCTCTGAACTCTTTCCAGTGTATTAACATTCTTCTTCAGAACTTGGCACCAGAATTGGATACCATATTCCAACATCAGTTGCACCAGTGGGAAACAAAGGCAAAATAACCTCTCTCTTTTCTTATTTGAGATTTGCTGTTTATACATTCAAGAATTGCATTAGCCCATTTGGCCCTAGCATCATACTGGGAGGTTACTTTTAGCTGATTATCCACCATGAACCCCAAAGCTTTTTTAGTCCCTGCTTCCCAGGATAGAGTCCCTCATCCTGTCTATCTGGCTTACATTCTTTTATCCAAAATGTATACATTTACACTTAGCCATATTAAAATTCGTATTGATTGCTTGCACAAAATCCAGATCATTCTGAATTAGCTACCTCTCCTCTCCATTATTTACCTCTCCTGTCCAACTTCATCATCTGCAATATCATCTGCAAACTTTACGGGTGATGATTTTTTTTTCTCCCCAGCCCTTTTCACAGTCTCCCTTTTTAGGCTACCATTTTTGGGGCATCACTATATTTACCGTTTTCAATACTACACAGCAGTGCTGGGCTGTAATCTCCAAAATTAATAGAGAAGAGAATAATTTTCCTATGAGTAAGACCCTTTATTCCAGTTTTTACTAACAATCTTTTTCTAACCTTAAAATTTGTGGCTTTTGCAAAAGCCATTATTTGGTTTTTACCATTTTTTACCCATTTTTAGAAGTGCCAGAACAATGAATAAGAATCTAATAACATTAATCTATTATTGCTTAAGACAAGCTACGTCTAGACTATAAGCCTCTTTCGAAAGAGGCTTTTTCGAAAGAAACTTGAAAAAGCCCCTTTTAAAAGACAGCCTCTAGACTACAAGGAGATTTTTCGAAAAAGCAAGCCACTTGAAGTAACTTTTCTACAAACTGAAGCTCTGAACAAAGGACCTAATGATCCTATCCAAGCTGTGGATGGATCCTCCAGGGATATCAAGCCAGCAAACTCACCAATATTGCTAAGAATCTGCTATATGGACTTTGATCATCTCTGTTTATATTTAATTGCTTTATCATTTACCAAATCTCTTCTTTTCACTTTTTTCCTTTACAATAAATCTTTAGTTTTAGACACTGAGGCTATGTCTACACTCGCAGCTTCTTGCGCAAGTACAGCCGTTCTTGCGCAAGTATCTGCAGAGCATCCACACTGCCCACCCGCTCTTGCGCAAGGAAATGTACCGTATGGCGTGGTAAGAGAGGGCTTCTTGCGCAAGCGCTACGCTCTTTTTTCTCAGTTGTAAGCCCTCTTGCGCAGGAGCTCTTGCGCAAAAGGGCAGTGTGGACGCTCAGCAGGGATTTCTTACACAAGAAAGCCCTATGGCTAAAATGGCCGTTGGAGCTTTCTTGCACAAGAGAGCATCCACACTGCCATGGGAGCTCTTGCGCAAAAGCACAGCGCCCACAGGGCAGTGTGGACGTTTTCTTGTGCAAGATGTTCTTGCGCAAGGGAAGCCACCAGTGTAGACATAACCTAAATGTATAGTTGTTACAGTGTTGCACACTCCACAGTAGCAAAAAGATGCACCCAATATTGTGTAGCGATGCAACATAATTTAATGGTTAGATCAAACCTGGCCCATTGATGGGGGTGGGCAAAGGGGGCAGTTTCCCCAGGGCTTCTGGCTGCCACCACCACAGAACCATTAGCAGCCAGGGCCCCAGTCCCTTTAAATTACTGCCCGAATGCTGCATGATGCACTCTGGGCAGTTCTGAGGGCTGGCTGGAAGGTGGGTCAGCCAGCTTAACATACTCCAGTGGTGCTAAAGGCTGGCCGCCCCAGCCTTGCCCCTTCCTTTGGGGAGCAGAGAGATGGCCCTTCTCCCCATCTTGCTCAAGTGCCCAGCAAGTCTGTCAGCCTTAATGGATCAACCAAGGAGAAGGCGCCTTTCTTTAGACAGTAACTGAAGTACAAATGGAAAAGTTGAATAAAACCAGTTTATTTAATTGAGGCTTTCCATGTGGTGATTTAAGTCATGATGAAATTCCTTTGATATTAGATCAATCCAGTTTGACTGTTCAGTGTACTGTTGTCAATCCCACACCCAGCTTGTACTCATCACCAGCTTTACAGATAACACAAATAGTTATCAGCAAAGCAAATAAGTTAATGTGCTACTTTTTGTGCTAAAATGGGTCAAAAAAAGCCCCCAAAATTACCCAACCCAGAGTGTTAGAACTAGGGATATTAGCTGTCAGTTAATTGAATAGTTGAGTAACCACACATGAATTCTTAGCAGTTATTCAACTATTCGATAGTTCCCAGGGGCGGGACCGGCAGCTAGTGCATTCCTGGCCCCACTCCCAGGGAGCCCCCTGCCATCTCGCACAGCAGAGGCAGCAGTGCGGGGAGCAAATTTAAAAACCAGCTTCCCTCGTGGACCAGCTGCCTGCCTGTATCAGAGGCAGCAGTGTGGGATGGCAGCAGCTCCTGTCTGTGCAGAGTCGGAGCTCCCCACGGATAGAGGCTGCTCTGCTTATAAGGGAGCAGCCTCTGTCGGCGGCAAACATGGGCCTGCCATGCTTCTCCAGCAGCAGCCCCTGTCCGTGAGGGGTCCAAGCTCCCCGCAAACAGAGGCTGCTCCAGGGGACAGGGACACTGCCATGAAGCAGCCTCTGTCTGCAAGAGCATGGACCTGCCATAGGCAGAGGCTGCTTTGTGGCAGCAGCCCCTGTCTGCGGTGAGGGGTCCCAGCTCCTGCTGCTGCTGCAGCAGCCTATGTCTGCAGCAGGCCTGGGTTTGCTCCGCATCCCATAGAGGAGAGGCTGCTTTGTGGCAGCCTCCCCGGCCCCCACTCCTGTGCTATAGTGGGGCAGGCGGAAATGTGAAACCAGTTCTGGGCGAGGGGAGAGGACTGGCTTTTAAGCTTCCCCTCTCCCCCATTGCTACCTCTGTATCCGAGGCAGCAAGGAGGGGGAAATGGGAGTAGTCTAGAAGATTAACCGATAAGCCCAGGCTTATTGGTTAATTGTATACTTGACTACTTGCTTACATCCCCATTTAGAACATAATTTGTTGAATGTTTACCCCAAAATTACCCAAAATACTGAACTTAATTTTACCCAGATTTTTACCTGTTCGATTTTTTATAATAAATACTGATATATTCCTAAGAAAATTCAAACATTTGTGAACAAATAGCCTGCCCTATGAGCCAAGTTGGAAAGATGAAGAGCAGATGAGCAAAACAGGAATTGTCCCACCATTGTCAGAATGGATGGATTCCAAAGAAATTCAGCACACCCTGGCCCATTGTTCCAACACAAGCATTCCAGCAGCTCTCACATATGGCTACCCTGACAGCCGTATTCCTTTTACAGCCTCCCGCTGTCAGCCCTAAATCACAAAGGGAGAAATTCTTTCTGCATCTGTAATAGACAGCCTTTCTCTGAAAATCGGTATCAAATGCAAGGAGACAAGAACAAACTCCTGCCCCAGGGAAGGCGAATAATGAAGGAAGTAGTGTGCAGCATGGTTCTTTTCTCTTTAAAAATGCATTGTGATAGCAAAGACAAAAGCTGCTGTGTCTGAGGCAGGGGCACCACCCAGTGGTCAGTCAAGTGAACAAGAGATTCTACGTGGATTTCCTCCTTGGCATTAACCTGGGCAGGTTTCAGAGAGAGAGCACCCCACCCAATTAGGACCATTCTCAGCTCATCTCTGCACCTGCGCCAAGGCACCGGATCCGAAACAATGAATGACAGGTTGAAACACAGAGCAACTCAATTGTGGAGCTGGTCAAGAAACACATGGCAGCATTTGGTAACCATGCCTAAGGGCCTGTTATACGCTACTACTTCTTGCTGATTGACTGCACGGCATGGACAGCTGCACCCCCATCTCCTTTAGAGACATCCCTCCTGGCTCCCCACTCCTCAGGAGCTTCCCCACTCCCTTTGTTCTGATGCTATTTTAAAATAAAAAGTGACTGTTGTGAGTGACAGTTACTGTCCTGACAGCCTCCATCCCACCTGGTCTCAGCCCTGAGCTTAGCAGTTACCTCTGTGGTGGAAGAGTTCAGCTGGCTGTGGGTGACAATACAGGGCCTATTAGAATCAATTGAGGCAGGGTATAGATATGTCCACTAAGAGAAATTGCCAGATGTGAAATTTTTTGCCGGTTACAAATGATCATTGGAAATTAATTACAATACTTTCAGCTGGCTCTTAGCTAGGCTTGAATCAGTGACCTAGAGATGAAAATCATTGCCCATCGCTGCTCCAGGTAGCCACCCATTTACTCTCAGGTGTTTCTTACTCTTGTTTTGTGAAAGGGCCCTAAGCACATGTTAATCCTCAATCCAGAATGTTTCAGCTCCCAAACTGCAGCAAGCACCATGGCTTGGCCTCCTTGCATCTCACATACCTGTTGCTGAGACCAGTGCTCGGGGCTGGTTCAGTACACTGAAGCTTTGCCAGGTATACTCAGGTTTTGGAGACCCCTCGTGAGAATTGCAGCTCAGGTTAATGGTCTGTCCATATTCTGGTGTCCCTATGACTTTACACTCTGGCTTGGATGGAGCCACTAGAGGAAAAGAAAGGAGAATGGCCTAAGGTGATGCAGCGTGGCATGGTTATGCAGAGAGATCTGTAGCCATTTCTTACTACACGTTCCTGCAACCCATCTTCTGCAGCTGTGTGCTTTCCTCCCACCCAGAAACTGGTCTGACTCATACCATTTTCTTGCAAGAATTAGAATGAATCCTTGCCTCTCCCAGCACTTTGTTACCCATTGCCCTCCCCTCCCACATCACCCAAGTTCAGGAGTCAATCATAAGATGTTTAGATGTATATATTACTTTCCCTCCACCATCATTAAAGTGAACCTACTCTTCTTGGTACAGCATAGTTATAATTATGATGGCTTATGCTTTCTTTTGACGTATCTGGGAGTGGTTTCACTCTTATTGCTGTGGAGCACTGGTTCAGTGCTTACTGTGAGAGTAGAGCACTCCCCTTGAATCAACAACATCACTTCCTGGTGGCTGCGTTTTGCTGCCTGTCACTGAGCTGGGCCTTGGATCAGTACTAACTCAGGAGGAAGGGAGAGCCTTACCAAGGACCAGAAGATCTATCTCTGCAGAGACATCGGGGAGATCTGTGCGAATTTGGACAGTGCACATGTACGTTCCATTGTCCATCATGGTCACCTTCTGGAGGGTGATGCTGACATCTGTGATTACAGTGCTAGGGAACTGCAGGCGGCCTTCATAACTCTTGCTATAGTGCACGTAGCCATCAAAATACTTTGTGACAATATCAACCTATAATAAAGAAAGGGACATTAAACAGCAAGCTTATTTTCTGTGATGTGTGTCCTCAAACTAACACCACATTGGAAGCGGAACAGGAACTGGGGGAAAAAAACTACCCTTCCCTAATCTCCTCGAGTTACCCTCATATCCTGCCTTCCATCATCCTCAAAATCTTCTCACGCATCTTGTGATTTACCTGTGGGTGTAATTTCTTCCAGGAGACAAAGTTTGCGCGATCTCCAGGGTCAGCAGTGGTCTGGAATTCACAAGGGAGGGTGGCATTATTGCCTACTGCTATCTTTACTTCCTTGACGCGTGTGTTCACAGTGAGAGCTTGGGCAGTCACCAGAACTAGAGAGAGAGAGACAAAAAACAAACATCAGAGGGGTAGCCGTGTTAGTCTGGATCTGCAAAAGCGACAAGGAGTCCTGTAGCACCTTATAGACTAAAAGATGTATTGGAGCATAAGCTTTCGTGGGCAAAGACCCACTTCGTCAGATGCATGACGAAGTGGATCTTTGCCCACGAAAGCTTATGCTCCAATACATCTGTTAGTCTATAAGGTGCTACAGGACTCCTTGTCATTTTGGAAAAAAACAAACAGTCCATCTCTCCCTGACCAGAGAAATGCATCTCTGGGTACTCCAGAGGGACCTGCACTCAACCAGGTTAGATTGGAGCCTATTATTGGATATCATATGAGTCTTCACTGTACTGTCTCTGCTTGAGAACGAGAGAGAATGTGTCTTCCTCTCTAGCTGCAGAAGACTTTTCGCACAGGCAACTCTCAATCAATATAATGAATCATGCTCCAGAGGCAAGGCCTTATTTCTATACCTCCTCTTCTGAAGAGTCCCTCTGTGAACTAGGCCTTCTCCCTAGCATCAATCCTGAGTGACTTGACCCAAGCGCAGGTCCCCAAAGCTATTATTACTGTGGAAAATACCCCAAATCCACAAGTTGCTGAGCCATGGGGAAACTATCAGAGAGGGGGGACGAAGCTGGCTGGCATTCTGGAGGGGTTGCAGTTGTTTAGCTGTGCATTTCCATGTTTTGCCATGTTTGCATTCCTTGAAAACTGAACATTAGCTGTGAAATTGGGGGGAGGGGGTTGTAATGTTAGTCTTGGGGACAAAGGCCATGTTTTTGTGATACTTCCCACTCTGAAGTTACTGATAGCAACCTTAACTCCCCATAGGCCCAGCTTTGCATTAGGGTTAATTTCCAGAGTGGGTTCTCCATCATCTGTTTATTCACAGTGGCGGCAGGGGTGGCTCCTAGGCATGCTATTTCCCTAGAGGTTAAATTAGCTGCCATATGCATATCTCATCGTATAAGCAATGGGATGCACATTCCTGGGAGTTATCCAGTGTGTAGAATTTGACTGTTGGTAGATAACGTGAGCAGTGTGAGGCTAGAGAAACTGATCCAGGATATCAGAACAGGAGCTTGATTTGCAGAGAGCTGTTCCCCCATGTCCTCCCTTTCCTTCTGCCCTCCACTAGACTCAACTTTCCCTGTTAGTGAAATGGTTAAACAAGCAGCAGTAATGTTCAGTGGAGTTATCCAGTGTGTAGAATTTGACTGTTGGTAGATAACGTGAGCAGTGTGAGGCTAGAGAAACTGATCCAGGATATCAGAACAGGAGCTTGATTTGCAGAGAGCTGTTCCCCCATGTCCTCCCTTTCCTTCTGCCCTCCACTAGACTCAACTTTCCCTGTTAGTGAAATGGTTAAACAAGCAGCAGTAATGTTCAGTGGTGCTTATTGAAGGGAACGGAGAGAAGGTTTGGGAAATTGAGTAGAATCCAGTTCAAGCCCTGACATGAAAACCCTTTTCCAGGTGTGCAAAAAAAAATGTATCCACTCCCATCTCCCACTAGCTCCCCCATTGGTACAATGACTTAGGTCCCTTCCTGAAGCTTCGGCAGATCATACATGGGATATGGTGGTAGGGCTCAGCATCATTTTGGCTTCATCATACAGCAACTCCCTTCTGCCCTGGTGCTGCTCTGGACTAACTTCTTGCCAGGCTTACAGGTCATTTCTTCCTCTCCTGCAAGAGCTACAGGAAAGATCTAATGTCCCCTGGGGTTCTGCACTATGATGTCCTGCACAGGGGAAACTTTGGAACAACAGTGAGGTTCCAACAGCAGAAAGGGAGTGTTGACTCCACAACAGGCCAGCTTCTTGAGAAGATGGGTGGGAGAGCGCAAACTGTCCTCCTGTACTGAAGTACTTGCTTCAGACTTTGAAGAAGGCAGGGAGGAGGTAGAGGAGGGTAGCTGAAGGTTTCAGAAGGGAGGGGCCTTCCCTGTGGTTCGGTGAAGCAGCCACATTATAAATAGTGAGTTTTTTGTAATGTGTCATCTGAGCATGAAGCCATGCTACTCTGGTCAAAACTGAGCTCTCTCCTAAGCACAACATAGGGGTCTTGGATATGGAGGCCTCACTCTGTTTACAGTCAGTTCACCATGACCTTGTGTCCACAGGAAGCTGTGTTTTAAAATATCTGCTTTGGTTTTTTATGGCACCGCTGAGTCATTAGAGGAGAGAAGGAATGAGACCAAAACCAGAACCTGACCACCTCATCTTGGGGTGGAGGAGCGGACAAAGGCACTCCCAGTGCAGAGGCAGCTTCCCTTCAGGAGCAGGGTGAAAGGGACAGTGCCAGAGGCTAGTGAAGGGCTGTGCTGTCACAGAGTGCCGGGGTGGTCACTTCTCTTCATCGTAGAGGGGAGTTGGTGGTGGCTGAGATGCAGCCTTAGGCCATGGCCCAGGGATGTCTACACTATTTGGCTCTGCAAAGGCACAACTGCAATGCTACTGCTGGGCCACTGTAACACCACAGTACAGATGCTTCCTACAGTGATAGAAGGAGTCCACCTTGCCAAGTGGCGATAAACTAGATCTTCCATCCATTTAGCTGCATCTACACTGGGGATTACACTACAGCATTTTTCACACCTCAGCCATGCAGTTAGTTCAATCTTATTGTAAATGCAAATTAGGGCTGAGTCACATCCCTGCTACTTATGTCAGACCTTCAGACTAATCCCACAAGCGAATTTAATGCATGGGATAGAGAGAGGGCAAGGCAACTTTCTCCTTGTGATGAGCTGTATAGACGCCAGCAAGGGATTGGTGAGTGGAAGGTTTACACTTGCTTCCGAAAGTGAAGAAAGACCGCACCTGTCTGCTCTCAGGGCGGGAATGTCTCGTTCATGAGGGAATTGAGGCCAGGACGGTTATCATGAATTAGGTAAAAGCCTGAAGGGTGCTAGGGATGTGCTGTGGCCAGACAGGAATAGCTGGGAGCCATTTCCTCTCTGAGAGGCAGCAGCAATGGCAAAATCTGGGAAAGCCTCCCCGAATGCACTCTGCCTTTCACTGTACATAGCTCTGCTCTGTGGTTCAGTTCACACCCTCCTCTCTGTCACACACGCCAGATAGAACTTTAGAAGAAACCATCCCTCTAGCCTCCCCAAGGAAATGCCTGTAACTGAAGTCCCAGTGTCAAGAGAAGATGCTTGCCAGGCAGCGGTGACTCAGTGTCAGACGCTCCACTGCAGTGACCCTAAGGCTATGGCTACACTATGAGTTTTGGCGCAAGAGCCTATGCAAATAAAGCATGGATTAGCATTTTCTCATGCTTCATTTGCATATTTTCTGCCCATCCGTTTTTTTGCTAGGGGTTTTTGCTCAAAAACAAGCAGTGTGGACGTTTCCTTTTTGTGCAAAAACCCTTTTTTGCACAAGTTCCTTATGCCTCAAAAAAGGAGGTTTACCATTTTTGCACAAAAAGGAAACGTCCACACTGCTTGTTTTTGAGCAAAAACCCCTAGCAAAAAAACGGATGGGCAGAAAATATGCAAATGAAGCATGAGAAAATGCTAATCCATGCTTTATTTGCATAGGCTCTTGCGCCAAAACTCATAGTGTAGCCATAGCCTTAGGGTCACTGCAGTGGAGCGTCTGACACTGAGTCACCGCTGCCTGGCAAGCATCTTCTCTTAACTGCCTGGCAGTCCCCCACCCATATCCAGCACCATTTGAACCAGCCTGATGTATGTTCACAAGAGTGAGGATTGCCTAGGAAGTTGCCAGTTACTTGGCTTTTTCCTCCTGTCTCCTACTGCTGCTCCTGCTCTTCTCTCCCCTTCCTGATAAAAGCAGAATAAATGGTGAGGAAAGGAAGTCTGAGGGCAAGAGAAGAAAGCAATCAGGACTCCTGGGCTCTGTTCCCAGCTCTGCTATTGACTTCTTGGGTAGGGTTGCCAGGTATGGACAGTCCAGTATTTGAGTTTTCTGTTCGGAAAACAAATTGAGAAAATATAAATGTCCGGTATTTTCTAAATCAGATGTAAATGTAGATTGTGATGTAATGTCAAGTGTGTCCGGTATTTTTGTTGAAACCATCTGGCAACCCTATTCTTGGGTTACTTTGGTTAAGTAACAGCGTATTTTTGTGCCTTTGTTCTCATGTATAAAAATGGGGGTGATAGTCCCTTCCTGCAAAGGCGGATTAATTCATTCGTAGCGGCGAAGTGCTCTGAGAGCCTCAGCGGGCCTGTAATATAGCAGGGCAAAGTATTACAGCTACCTCATTAGCTGCTATAGGGCACCTAGTACAACAGGACGGTGTGCACGACAGCAGAGCTGGCTCTGCCCATCCTTTCAATCTTTCACCCCAGGCACATAAACACACAAAAAGCTATTGGCTTGCTTTGTTTGGACAGGCAAAGTCCTTCCTGCCTCTCCAGAGGAATGTACAACCAGGATCTTGACTGTGCCAGGAAGCACCCGCAGAACCCCAGTGGCTTCTGATAGAACAGGTTTTTCTTAATCCATTGTCACTCCTCAGAAACTGGTTCCACCCAGTTAGGGTTCATCATCAGGTCATTCACCCAACCCCCAGAGAGACTGAGAGTGACTGCCCAACCCTAGGCACTCCCAGTCACAGCTATTCCTCCCCCTCCAGCCAAAGCCAAACCTCTTATTTACTGCAGGTTTTTATTCTGTTCACAAGTGCTATCAATTCAGAGTTGCAAAGGTGCTAAACCAAACCCCACAAGTAGCAGAAGCAGCCAGTAATAAAAGAGCTGTGTGTGACTCTGAAGGATTGTTCTAATTTGCCTGGCACTGCCGTAGAGTCATAGAATGCTAGAGCTGGAGGGACCTCGAGAGTTCATCAAGTGCAGTCCCCCATACGAAGGGCCGATATTTTTGGTGCCCTCTCTTATTTGCTTCATCCTTAGTCTGATTGTTTGACTGGCTCGTAATCCAGTTTTTCACTGGAGAATAAAGACTCCCCATTACATATCCTTCTAGTTCTCTGAATCTGTTCAATTA